CCCCGGGTTTTCTCACAACTGAACATCGCGACCGTCACTAGAAGCTGAAATTGCCAAATTTAAAGGAGGGGAACTGCAAAGGCCTGCCCTAAAGAAATGTTTCTACGGCTCTCTTTTCCAGCGGTGTTGGGAAACAAGGCACATACGATAGGATAAAGCTACGTCAAACATTGCAAAATTCTTCCATAAATATTCACTTTTTTTTTTTTTTTTTTTAAGATTAAGCTTTTTGTCCATGTCTAACCTCTTCTGTATTTGCTTTCCATGGGTATTTGCGCAATCAAATTATATTGGCACAAGTGTTCTTGCAAGCCAGATTTCAACATCTGACATTCAAGTATTTGTAAAGATTGATTTTGAGTCTTTTGTCAATCAATAGCACAAGTTACCTGATGAATTCCCCCCAAAACTGCTCAGATCTCTCAGAGAACACGCTTAGATTAATTCCTAACACAGTAAAAACAAAACAAAAATCCCAACTGAAGTCCACTTGTGCACACAGGGTTTTCCTGAGAAACGCGTTGAGCGGTGAACACAGACCGCGTTCAGACAGATTACATCATGGTACGCTCCCGACTGATTCTCAGTTGTTACTGATGGAGCAAAATAGTAATTTGAAACATTTTAGTTGCCCTTTATGATTTTAGTTGCCATGATTAGCAGATTGATGGATTTTTGCAGCCCCTCCCAGGTGTTACAGATTTCAACCCACAGGTGAAGGGGCAGGAACTGGCAGGGGCTGTGACCCAAAAGAAGGGGCGAAGGGCAGAGGAGCACCAAAACCGCAGCCAGAGCCGGCAAGACCCATCGGGATTGGTGGCAGCTCCAGGGAGAGGAGGGCACTCCGCACCCTTCCCTCCCTCCGCTGAGGCTCACGCAGGGGAATAAGTCCAAGGTGACCAGAGAGAAGAAACCTGAATGAGTCAGTCAGGGACAGCGAGCAGTATGACACCAAGGCAGGCCTCTGCCATATGCTAGGGATTATCTCTGAGAAATAGATACAGGATAGGAGGTATGAAGGCAGTAGATACACAAGGGACATTTCTGGAATGGTTATGCATAACAGCAGCATATAAAGGGGTTATTTAACTATATGAAACCAGTAGCACCACAAAAGTATTGTAACAGCTTGAGCAAAAATGAGATTTTTCTAGACTTGGCCCCTGCTGGCCAAAACTATCCATCTTCCAGGCAATCCCTTAGCATTGGTTCATTCCTCTCCAGAGCTATAGCGAGATAATACAGTACCTTAGTCACTCTTATCATTCTTGCAGCCCCTTCACCTTTATCTCCTCACCCTTTCCAGCTCCTGCTACCAGGAGCCTATATGGGTATATTTGCTCCCACTCAGCAGGTCTTTCAGACAGCCTCCAACCGGACTTTGGCTTAAGTTATTAACCCAATGCTGACAATTGTTTTGTAACTCATTTTTGTTCTGTTTAACAGAAAAGGGTGCAGCAGGAGGTTTCCAGAAAGGTCAACAGAGCCGTCTCATACATGCTCTGAAAAGATCTATGAAAATAATATGGTGTTGTTTAAAATAAATCCAAAGCTCTGATGTACTTATGACCTACTCAAGTTAATAGAAATGAACAGGGAAAACATTTCACGGACTATTTGCAAAGGTTTCCGTCACTTTTTCACTTCTGTCAAACGTCAACTAGCAGCGGGATACATGCAGGAGAACTGGAATCCAGTTTAGCTTAATTGTGTCTATGTTCTATGCAGCTTAGATCTTAAGATAGAAGAGTTGCATTTGTTTTGCAGGCTTTGTTAAGAATTTTAATGCCTGAGCTCACATTTAGAGTCTTTCTTCATAAAACCTTCCCTTAAATGCCCTTAGTTTTTCAAAAAGATGCCTGTGTTCTAGGCGTCTATAATGCTCATCCATTTTGCCTTAAACTAACCTAGAGGCATACAGAAGCCATTACAAGTTGTGGCTTTTGCTCCCCCCCCCCCCCCCCAGTATGACTATTCACCATAAGTCATCACAGCCAGGATGCCAATTTCATGAGCAGCGTTTTTGCTTTTGTGGCAAGTTTCACATGAACCAAAAAACCCTTCAAAACCAATGAGGATCTCTATATAACTCAGGAACTGATTACTGGAGGTTTGCTACTTCTGCTTACCTTAGTACTAGGCATCTATTCAAACAACAGTTCCAGGAATACAGGAACTAATGAAGACTGGTTTCCTATGGATTCCTATGGTCTTGTGATTAGACTCTGAAGTCGATTAATGTAAAAGCTCTAACTGAAGCTGTTCTTAAGCCTGGGAACTTATAAATGTTTATGGAGCTTATAAATCCCTTATGTGGATGTCAGTTCAGGATGCAGTTTTTCCCCTCTCGTTTTTCCTTTACCTGTCCACTTATTCTCAAAAATAATTTTCTGAAAGTGCAGTTACTATAAGATTTGCCAGATGCGGCTGAAGCTAAGTAGCCATTCTGAAGCTGAATGGCAGAATGGTCATAATACGCCGTACTTGCACAGGGAAGACGTAAAGGTGGCGCCTACTGCACCAAGCCTGGTTTGTGGTACCACCCGTATCTTGCTGATAGTACTTCACAGAGGGCTAACTACAGAATAATCTCCAATTATTCAAGTTAAAACAAAAAATTAAAATAGTAATTATTTTTAAAAGGATTACCAAATATTTGTTAGAGTACTAAACAAATTATTTAGTTACAAAAATCATGATTTACAAAAACAAGTGCTTTTCCCTCCTACATATACCTTTTAGATGAAGGTGGAAGAAAGGAAGACAGAATTCTCTTTTAGACAGAAGGAAACCAGATAACTGGGCTTTAAGTTCAAAAAAAAAAAAAAGTTCAGCAATTTGATCAAAAACTTCAGTCAGCTCACTGCACAAAAAAAACCCTCCCCCCAAAACAGTGATTTATATATCAAACATTTCATTCATTTAAGGATCTCAAATATACAAAAGTGAATGTCATAACTACTCACAGGCAGAAAACAGTGTTGTTTTACAACTGCTAAAGAAAATCTGTAAGCCAGAGAAGTGCTAAGTGAAAGCAACAATCATCAGTATCTGAAGTTAAGTGCTGTCATAGTCCCCTGCTTTCAGTCCAAGATCCTTTGTACTTCCACCAATTAAGGCTAGTAATAATACTATTGTAATCAGAAAGCATCTTGGCGCTGGCTAAGTTGGACTATAAACACATGCATCTTCTGCACAGAAATGAAAATAATTTGTCATTGTTAACTACAGACAGAACAGGCTGCAGCAGCAACGTTACCTGCCCTTCCTTCCCTTCCATGGGTCTCCAGGCTGAGGGGCTTATGATAAACATGCTTTGATTTTATCCTGACAAATGAATCAACCAGTTTACAGAAAAGTTTGAATTACTAGCTGAGATAAACAACTGAACTGACTGAACCCTAATTTTAGAGAAGGAAAAAAACCAACACACAAACCACACCATTCACAAGTCAGTAATACTACCCTTAAAGACAGAAACTGACACAACTAGACACAGAAAAAACAGCTGGTCACAGCCCTACATAATAACACTTCTGATATAACAAATCAGTGATAGTAGTATCCAGAATTCACAAATACACACTTGTATTTCCTCCAAAGAATTAAAAAAAAAAAAATTACTTCTCCAACTTTATCCATTTTACGTCTTCTCAGTAGCAAACGACAGATCCGGTACGAAGTAATTTAAATTCCTTTAGTATCTTCTAACAACATAACCTGCCATTCCTTAAAGAATCTTGTTTTGAAAGCTTGCACAGCCCCAAGTTTACATTCATTTTTTTGATCCCTGAAACTTGGTTGTCTGTAACTGGTATGAGAAAGAAGATAATAAACTGTTAAAACCAAGGGATAGTCTATTGCAGTACTTACTTTGTCACCTCCCATATGCTCATAGGGGACTTCCAAATACAGCAGACTGATACGATTTGTTTTTAATACTGTTTTTGCAAGAAGTCACGTAATCACATGTATCTTCCATTATTCTTCCCTAAAAAATAACATTTGAGATTACTGAACATTTTCCCTGCAATGAAAAGCTACATTTAACTTTGTATTTTCTTGTTAGTAAGCTGGTCATGCATCAACATTTACACTGGCTGCATACAAATAGTAAGTTTTACATAGTAATGGCTCAGGTCATAAGATATTCACTTTAGAGGAATCCTGGTTAAGCAAGGAAGTACTCTTATTGAAAAAATAGTTACCATGCAAACTAATGAAAATCACTTCAGATAATGAAATTATAGTATTTTTCACTGCTTTTAAAAGTCAGGTTACCATAGACAACTGAAGCATATCTTTTTCCTGATAGTTGGAATTATTTGGCAGGATTTCATTTATCTGAAATGTGGAACTTTCCAGAAAAGCAATCAATTTTTTTTCATCTATCAATTTTACAAGAGACACCAAAAGGATTTGTGAAATCTTATAACTGCATGAACCAAACTGATTCTTTTTTTTTTTTTTTTGGGAAGGTATGCATTTCATTTGTTCTCCTATGGAGTCTTAAAACTAACTTGGTGTTTTAGTACTTTCAACATTAGCATAGTGTGAAATCCTACTCATTTTGATGAGTCATCAAAATCTGTCATGATCAGCCCTGGGTTTTTTTTTGTATGTGGGACATACATCCGAAGTCTGCAACATTAACATACTTTCACTCTGAACAGCACTCCATTTTGAGACAATTATTTCTCTTATGCTAGGTGTCAGCAAATAAGTGGCATTGTTTTTGGACACAGTCACGCTCAACTCAGCCTGGATTCTCGCTTTTGCCTTTGTTGAAGGCCCAAACTCCAGAAGCTTCATACGTTCTGGGTTTTCTTGAGAAGGACAAACGGAGTCACAGGCAGAAGAGGACGTAACGTTCAAGGTGACCTAAGAAGGAAGCAGATTTGATGTTATCCGTTTGCTTGGAAGTATTTGCCTTTGTGCAAGACGAAAGCTGAGTTCAGACCGTCATTCAGACCAACAGCCCTGTCTTAGTGTCGACTGCTGTACAAGTTTCATGCCTTTTCCCAGGGAAAAGGCCAAAAAAAAAAAAAGGCTACTAGAACCAGCCTCATAATTTAGCAAAGGTTCTTTTCCATTTATATATAGCAACTAAGAATCACATAGAGTGGCCGAGGTTGGAAAGGACCTCTGGAGATCATGTAATCCAACCTCCCTGCTCAACCAGGGTCCTCTAGAGCGCGTTGCCCAGGATCACGTCCAGACGGGTTTGGAATATGTCCAGGGAAGGAGACTCCACTGCCTCTCTGGGCAACCTGTTCCACTGCTCAGTCACCCTCACAGTCAAGAAGTTTTTCCTCAGCTTCAGATGGAACCTCCTGTGGCTCAGTTTGTGCCCGTTGCCTCTTGTCCTGTCGCTGGGCACCACGGAGAAGAGTCTGGCCCCATCCTCTCGACACCCTCCCTTCAGATACTTGTACACATTGATGAGACCGCCTCCCAGTCTTCTCTTCTCCAGGCTCAACAGGCCCAGCTCGCTCAGCCTTTCTTCAGAGGAGAGAGGCTCCAGTCCCCTCATCCTCTTTGTGGCCCTCCACTAAAAAGGAGATCACCTTCAGCAAGTATCAGCTCTCACCATTTGTTATAACAGTTCACAAAGTAAGTAATTTAAGTTCCCTTACAGGCACTCTACCATTTCTCTATGTTTTAGAAGAATACCTAAAGGTTAATATGGTATATTTCCATGCAAGCAGCATGTATTTAACTATGATCTCTTTGCACTAGCAAAGAAATGACAACATGAGCTTGAAAATAAAGTTCTTATTTACAGATGAGGTGAAGCTACCCCAAATGAACAGCTGAATAGGGAGACAAGCCGATTTTTACTGACAGAATCCTTGCAAATTCAGTCCAGCTCTAAGTACACATCTGCAAAGGAACCGTGCAAGTTTCAGCAGCATGAATGCTTATACCTGCTAGAGACTTGAGTCAAGACATCAGGCGTGTAATAGCACATACGAGAACATTTGGAGCAAGTTTTAGGGACATAAAAGAGGATATACACTTCTTTTTAAATGTTTAACTACATAAACACATACTTACCCAATACCTTTCCTGTTAAAACAAGTAGTCTCTGCAAATTACTGGAACCAGGCATAGCTTCCCCAGTAAAACAGGGTACATGGCAAGACGCTTGATGAAGTAAGACATACACATTGATATACACAGCTGAAGAGCTTTTATGAACAACTTGCACTAAATCCTACCTATAACATCAAGAGTGAAGCACACTGGCAGGGAGGGGGGGGGGGGGGGTTTTTTTTTTTTTTTTTTTAAATATATATACCTGCAACTTCCCATTTAATGAAAATGGGGAGGTGCCTGGAAGAAACACCCACAGGTGTTCAAAAGAGTTTAAAGATCTGAGTAGTCTTGGGGAACTTTCTCAGAGGACCAGAAGACATTTTGTTATTCAACTTATCACTGATGCTCCCTTTATAAACTTTTGAAACTGCCTGGCTTTCTACTTTATCCTAAGACATCTGTCGTCCCATTCAGTGATCTAGCCACACAAGGAAACACATCAGGCAAGTTTTCCTAAGGATTTGTAATTTTGGAAGGAATCTCTGATGTTGCAACAAACACTGCCAAATAAAACAGACTATCATTTCACAATTTTTTACTTTGAGATAAGAAAACTCACATCAATATTTGTATCCTCATGAAGCAGGCTTTACTACTGCATCATCTTTTAAATTCTCATGTTAGACAATTTCAAATATGAGTGAAGTGTCTATTAAGACATCTAGTACTGTTTCTGTGTTTCTTTGGTCCAGCTGTATTATACAGACTGAACTTGCAAGTGTCTATATGGTATTTCATACTTTAATGCAAAGTTATTATCAAGCTTTAATTAAGGATCTAATGTTTTAACTACTACAGCAAATAAAGATCACCTGATGTCCAAGTTTTATACAAAAGCATTCTCAAATTCACTAGAGGCTCACACAAACTGCATGGTTTCACACAACTGAGATAGCATGCATTTAACTACTAAGTTTGAAAAATTCAGCAAAACAGTGTTATTTTTACCCCCCAAAAGAGAACTGCCTCTAAAGCACTTGTTGAAATCATAAGCTCAGTTAGTATTCTCCTTTTGTGGAGGCAATATTGGAATGTAGTCAACACCCTCCCCCCAATATTTCAGGGATTTGAGAATCTGGAAGAGATAGCACATATTGGTAAGGTCACTTCTGCGAAGACAGAGTCTAACAGACAGAGAAACATGGTCTCTTCATGTTCACTGACCCACTGGACACAAGTCTATAGAAGCTACTGAGCTACTGGTGGACTATTTCCCCTTCCATAACCAATGCTAAAACATTCCAGAAACCAATGAATCTTTTCCCCCCTTTCCCACATCTCTACCAATTTAGGTATCTTCCCCAGTACCAGTTTGTGAAGATAGTGTTTGTCATTTTATAACAAAATCATATACCATTCTTGATCTATCCCTTCCCCAAAGTCTCATAGGAATAAGATTAGTTAGATGCCCTCTAAAACAAATGCATGAGTACTTCAAGAAAGGAACACCACCCCACAATTATTAGCCTTTTCTTAAATAACAAAGGAAAGAGAAAAACCTTGGTAAGATTGGAGCATATCCATTATAAGACAAAGACATACCAGTTGAGATTTAAAGGCCACTAGTAACAGTTTTTGCAGTAATTAGTGCAAGATAATTATCCCATATAAACAAATATTTGATGGCAGACGTCAGTGACAAACAATTCACTTGATGACATTTACATATAAATACACATAAATAAAAACCTATGTCATTTAGGTTTGCAGTTAACAAAAAATATGGTCTGAACTGAATTAAATGTATTTGTATCTAGCTGGAGCAGAGCTTTTCCTCTAATGACACTCAACTATACGTGGCATAAAAAACATAATTGTACAATTCTCAATTTAGTAAAGTACTACTCTATAAAACAGAATCATGAAAACAGCTCTTACATTTTAATGTAAAGTATAAAATCATATTTACATGTATATACACTTTACTGAACTACATTGGGTAGCTCATGGTAAAAACATCCCTTTTTGAAAAAAATTTTAAAAAATACATCAACTGCAGATATGATCAAAAGTTACTAAGTTAGCAGCTGACATAACATTTGTAGTAAAAATATATTTTAGGAAAACATCTGCAAAAAACTAAACATCAATAAACACTTTAAAACTATTTTTAAAGAAAAAATAGTAGCAAAACCCAGAATAAGCTAGCTAAGATAACAGGAACTATTGCATATTGCTCTTTAAGAGCCGTGTAGCGACTTACAATAGAAGCAGCAGATATTGTAGGAGTTGTGGCGTAACAAAACGTTGGCCTGGAAAGCGGAGGAAAATAACAAACACAGAGAGAAGTTGGATAACTGGTTTTCTACTTTTAACTGAGGGAAGGATAAGGAAAAGGAAAGATGAGAGAATCCCTCTTGCTGAACATATCCTCCAAAGGCTAAAACAAATTGGCAAAAGGAACCCAATTTCGAAAGCCTCAGACCCCAAACTTTAAAACATTTTCCATATGTACTCACAGTTCAAGGGACAATAAACTGAATTATTACACTACAAGTTGCAGGTTAACTTTAAGAGTTAACACTATTTTGCAATATGAAGTGCTTTTTTAATATATATATCTATAGAATATATAGATATTTGTAAAATACACGTGCAGATTTGATAGAAAAAACTATGTGAAAATAGTTCAAGTCTTTCGTTTCCATTAACAGATCTTTATCTCCTAGACAAGCAGGCTCAAGATTCAACAAGGATTTCCACAATATGATCAAGCTCGTTAAGATCAGATTTACAATTAGAGTTAGAAGTTGTAGTCGTTGGAGAAGAAAACGTTTCAAGCCCATCACAGTGTCCCATTTTTGTGTTGCTCATCATTCCTGTTAACATTGTATCAAGATCATAGTAAGAATTGTCAACTTCTGAAAACAAATCTTCAACAGAATTAGGACTCTTATTCTCCAGTGTCTCAAATATTTGATCTAATGATTTCTGAAAGTTTCCTCTATTTTCTTGTGGATTCTCCATTTCCCATACGTTGCTCTGCAGGTTTCTTGGAGCTTGCACTGAAGAAGCTGTTGACATAGTTTCTGAACTGTCTTGTGTCTGGTCATCCTCAAAGTCTTTATTGAAAGTACTATAACCTGGAACATGCTTTCCCTCAGCTTGTTCCCTGGATGAACGGCAGAGGATATCCGTTGAAACAAGGCGATCGAGGGATGTCTGCCCTGTACTCTGTGTATTTATCATCTGCCAAGTCCCATCTTGGGTCATTTCCTCTTGGATTTGTCGTACTGTGTTGGCTATAAGTACCGAACGACAAAGGTTAGGTTCAACCAGCATGTGACACAGCTGAAGTTTAACCAAGGACATATCTAAAAGTGACTGTCGCTGAAGATTATATGAAGGAATAGCTTTAATGCCAGCCAGAGTTCCTTCAATATCTTCTTCACCATCAAAACATTTTCTCTTTAATCCTCGTACGAACATTGTGTCCTGTTAAAAAACAAAACCAAAAACATTTGCACAATGTAAACAGCTTGTGGGGGGGGGGGGCCTAATAAAAACAAAACAAAAAACTTAAAAAACAAAAAAAAATTGCCAAATGGAAACAGCTTGTGGGGGGGGGGGGACTAATAAAAACAAAACAGAAAACTTTAGAATCATAAGTTTAAACAGCAAAAGTAATTCTTTGAAGATAGAAATGTCAGAATTGTCATACCAGGTTATAGAATGGCCAGTGTGGTACAACAGGGGTCAGGAACATATGGACTGGGTCCCAAAGACGGCACTCGGGAACCAAGGGTGAGCAGGTCCACAAGTCATGGCATCGGAGAGAGGCATCTGAGAGGCTGGGGCTTCCAGCTCCTGGCTCCCATTAAGTTCCATACTTGATGGAAGTCAGGAGCCGTTGCTTCGCACAGAAGCAAGCACCTCAATGGCTGTATTCCGCCTACTGGAGAGGCAGTTTCTCCTCGCTCCTCCTGAGTTTCTACTTGCACGCTTAACTTCTAATTTTGGAAATAAAAATACAACCTAGCACACCATCTTTAAAAGATTTTTGACCCCTGCAGAACATCAACATGCCTAACAGAGTAAAAAAATAAAAAAAAACCAACGGGCAGCACATTTGAAAGGGTAGGTTTATTTTAGGCTACAGGGAGGGTCAGATCTACATTTGTTCCATCTAGCTTCAGGCATCCAAATGAGGTGCCTAAAAGCAGTCCCCCAACTTCCCTTACTCTGGTGGGAAACCAAACTGTGCAATTCCAATGTGCAATTCAAATGTGCACTGTGCAAATCCAGTTAGGACAGCCACAGTCATCCTCGCTATGGTCCATTCTTTATTACTTGACTATTAGGAAGCAGAACTCTGTATTCTTAGTTTACGTTCACCAGGCACATGCCTAAAAATAAGTGGGATGCATTCAGACCTCTGATTATTTGCATCTAAAAAAAGTCACTTGCTGAATTAGCTAAGATATGAATTTCTAGTGCTAACATCCAGGTCAGTTTTTGAATTGCACTAATTTTTTTTATAGTAGTCCCCCATGCAAGTTAAGTATTGTGGCTAACCTCCTGAAATACACAGTAACTTCTTTAATGCAATAAATGTCACTTCTAGTCATATAAAAACTAGGCAGCACTGAAAGCAAGTACTTCGCATGATGTCACTTCCAAGTCTTTTGTCCTTTGACTTTGTCTGCCTAATATTTTGGGGATTTTTTTTTTTTTAATGTAGTGGCCGAAACTAGATTTTTCAACTAAAATAACACATTAGTGAACTCTTTTTCTATGTTGTTTAACTTTTCCTTTGGTAAGCCCTAACAGAACAAACTTGCTTTTTTGGTTACTACTGAATGCTGTCATTTTCAATGAGATCTCTCCCATCTTTTTCAGAAGCACTAAAAATCCGAAGTAACTATGTTGTTCCTTTCAACATTCATTGAGTACTCTGAAAACCTGAAGATAGGACACTAGCTAGACAGAGGTGTCGTCTGACCTTATGCAACAGTTCTTCTACTGCTGTATATATCTGTGGGTCACCTTTGTCCAGATTTGACGACTCTCACAGACTTTCCCCCCCTAGTGAAGCTACAAAGCTCTTTAGAAATTATAATACACAGAGATTGCAATATAGAACACACGAACTTGGTGTTATGGCCATTTTTCACAGACTACTTAGAGAAGTTATCCACAAATTCCCAATATATCAAATTCTTTGGAAGTTCCTTGTAAAAATATCTCCAGTAACCCAACATGTTTGTGTTATTCCCACAAAGAAACCCTAGTTCTTGCTTGATAGTGCCTTTTCCAGATCTTCAGATACTCCTATAAACTCCTCATCTGAGGCTAGCTCATTTAATTTTTCCTAAGACGTATGCACAGTAATTTCTAAAATATACTCCCTGTATGAAACTGTCATCCTCTAGAACCTCTTTTGGGACTAATAACCACATATGATTATGTCATCAAGCATAAAGCAGTACATGCAGAGTTTGAAGCTTCTTTTCATTTCAACCTCTGTTCATGTGAAGAATAATTAAATCCCCAATTGAATGTTAACCTTGTTTTCAGATGGCTATTATTCGTCATTCAACATTTTTCTAAGGCACACCAGTAGAACATTACCAAAAACTTGAAAACCTCGGTGTATCAGATGTGTGTGTGTGCGTGCGTGTGTGTGTGTAGGAGACCATGTAGAGAAAGAAACGTTTATGAGTCCTTAAAGGTAAACCTTGTATACAATTTGCTGGAATCGCTCTGTAACACTAATTTCAAATCAGTATCTTAAATTCATAAAAACAGTGCTTTGTTACCCAGCTTCCAAGACTGCACAAAATATTACAAGGTTGCTCTTTCACTTAAAGAAAAAAAATTACATACCAGTAATTGTGTTTGATGTAGTCCTTCCTCTTCTCCCATGCTACTGAGCAAGAGTCCATACAGTAAGAGTTACAGCACCACCTAGCAAGTATTAGGAAGCAAGATGTCAAGCAAGTACAGGAGACACACCGCAAAATAATTTCTCATTTCAGAAACTTATACACTTCTATTTTTCAATTGCTTCACTATCTCTATCCTCACAATACTCCTATAAACTGGAATAATACTATTAGACCCTATTTACAGATACAGCACAAAGGTGACTTGCCGAACAATACACAGAAAACGTGTGGCAGGAGAAGGAAACTGCCAGATTAAGTCCAAGTCCTAGGCTATTATCCTGCCCTTTGGACTAGCCTCTCCCTTATCCCTGTGCCTTCGTCATTTAAAGAGTAAACAAATTTAAAGCATTGGAACAGGTTGCCCAGAGAGGCAGTGGAGTCTCCTTCCCTGGACATATTCCAAACCCGTCTGGACGTGATCCTGGGCAACGTGCTCTAGAGGACCCTGGTTGAGCAGGGGGGTTGGACTAGATGATCTCCAGAGGTCCCTTCCAACCTCAACCATTCTGTGATTCTTTAAAATCTTAGGCTATCATCTGAAAATTTTAAATGCACACAGCAGCATATTGAAAACAAAACTTCATTACTCTTATCACATAAAACCGCACATTTTTCCCCTTTTGTTGTACAAAATCATATATGTCTACAGTATCTAGAGAGAAAGAGCAAGCATGAGCAAATACAAAACTGAAAGGTAGCAAAAACAGGAACAATTTTCCTTTAGCAGCAGCACAGAAACTTTATGACTGATGTTTAACTTTGCAAGATGAGAGTAATGAAAAGGAAATAGTTTTGACTACAGAAAACATGTTTTTGAAACACACTTAAGGCAAAATAAAATTTGATATACCAAAACACAGGGAAGAATTGCTTTAATAACTGAAACAAAAAGAATACTCAGCTTAAAGTCTGCAAAAACTTAAATGATAAAATATTAAGTTTAGTCAAATATCTTTCCAGACATGTTTGTACTATGCAAGACAAGACTCCAACTAAAATACATACCTGGTAAAGAAACAAGTTAAAAAGATGCATATGCACATCCTTTGTTTTCTATTGTGCTTGCTAAAGGGAAAATTTTGATAACAGCTTGCTCTTCAAAATTGGGGGAAGGGAGACAGTTGACAAAGGATTTTTTTTTTCCTTTCCTTTGGACAGAAAACACCTGCTTCACTCAAGATGTTGCATATTTGTCCAAAGGAAAAAAAAATCTTTTGACTGAATTCCAAAATATTCAGACTGAAATGCGGTTATTTCATGGAAATTGCATTTCACCCAACTCAGTTTCATTCACTCACAGACTGGGCTCACAGTAACACTTGGGTCATGAGGCATCTGAACTAGAGTTCCATGAAGATACCATAATACGAACTGCATTAAAATATTTCTTATTTCTATCAAACACCTTATGACGCTATAAAAATTTGGAAGTTTTTGCTCTCCAGTATACTTTCAACCCATTACAAACATCAAGGGCACTTTGAAAGCTTGTATATAGTAACCATTTGCATCCCAAAAGCCTGATCCAACCCACTTTTTCCAAGACAACTACAGGTAAAAATCATGAGAATGAGTCATGAGAATAAATAAGAAGATTTTCTGGTGCTATTTTGTATATCTGACAGTTTTAGAGGAAAAGGCCTCTCTTGTTTGCCTCCAAAAATAGCAGACTGATACAGTAGCGGACCGCTGATGGGAACACATGGGTTTTAAATAGAAGAAACATTATCAGGTCCACAAACCGAATCACAGAGGGGATGGCAGCCGACAATTCTAATCTACTCTATTAACATGCTGAAGGAGGAAACGGTTATCCCATGAAATACAATAAAGTCTAAGACCTGCAGCATGTGATTCCAGGTTCTTCCCTAGAACAATAAAAAACGTGTGACCTTTGTTGGCATGAATTTATTAAAGAATACACCCATCATAGCACTTATTTATTTAATTTCTATTAACTGACAGATTATATTACTTAAGTGTGCCTCAGTACCTAAGTTTTCATTAAAAATATTAACTTCACAGCCATTGTCAGACATAAAAAAGCCTTGCAAAAGAACAACCTCCCCCAGGCTTCTCTGCACCACCTATACTAAGCACCCACCTCAAGAGAATGCCAACTTTAAAGCCTAATTAATCAAAATGCAAGCATGTTTCTCAACTGATTTACATATTAACCTAATCAAAAAAGGTATTAGCCACTATGTAAAAATCTCCCAGCAGATCCAAGCAAGATTGCCGCTGTTCTGGAAGCAAGGTGTTCAAACGATCTCCCATTAATAATTTGTAATAATTCGCTTCTGTCCAAAATAGAAGATCAGCTGCATCTTCTCCCTTCTTATGCTACTACCTGAGTATCAAGTGCCCAAACCACTCAAGTCTACATGCGCCAAAAGCACAATTGTTGCTTGAGATTGCTGTCATCTTCCTGACTTGTATGCTACAGATACGTGTAGGACACTACAGTTTAAAAACACACACACCCTTGTTCATAAGAAGTAACACAGGGAACACAGTATTATGTAATTCATTACAAGATTCTTATTCTTGAGACTGTGACAAATTCCCAATCTGCTTTACAAAAAAAGTGCTTAAAATTTCATCCAATTATTACTAGAGTTTCAACTTACACATTCCAGATTCACACTCAATTCAGATTCCTGCATTAATACGCTGCAGAAGACATATGCAGATACTTAAAAATGATGGCAGAAGTCACCACTGAGGAGTTAGTTGGGGACAACAGAGAAGACGGGAAAGGAGACTCTAGCATTGTTCATGTTTGGGAGGGAGCACCCAAGAACTACCTAAGCCAATACTGGAGTTCCACTTAAGGAGAGCTTTTTTTTTTTTGTACAGACACGAGCAGAGCCACGGTGGATGGCAGGGCAAGGCAAGAAGGTATTGTACCTCCCCTCTAAGCGACGGTGGATGGCAGGGCAAGGCAAGAAGGTATTGTACCTCCCCTCTACCACTCTGTTCCGCCTGATTCTCCTCCGCCCCCATCCAAAAACTGTCCTTCGTAACAGCTGCGGAAAGAAATCAAAGCTCTGTGCAACGGTGAAAAGGAGAGAGCCCGCCAGTCGCCCCCCCGTTAGGCATAGAGACGCGCGCCCGCGGGGGCGTGCGGCTCGAGCGCGGCCTCAGGCGCAGCAGCAGAGGGCTGACAAGACCAGAAAGCACCACCAGCACCGCGACAAAGGCGCGCACAAAGAACTGGGGCCAGGGTCCGTGACCGGCGGGGA